GTACTATGGACACACAAAACAGGCTTCGTGTTATTCACCAGGAAGTTTTGTTGTGATATATCAGTATTAACTTAAAATGTAGTTAATCTTAACAATTGTTTGCACCTCAGAATTTAAAAAGAATGTGTGTTTTCAGATCTCTCTGGCCCAATGACATTTTTGGCAGCTGTGAGGATGACCCTGTGCAGACGCTGTTACACATCTATTTTCATCACCAGACGCTGGGTCAGACGGGCAGCTTTGCAGTTATAGGCTCCAACCTGGACATGTCAGAAGCCAACTACAAATTGATGGAGCTTAATCTGGAGATAAGAGAGTCTCTACGCATGGTGCAGTCATACCAACTTCTAGCACAGGCCAAACCCATTGGAAATATGGTGAGCACTGGATTCTGAGAAACTTCAAGCATTTTGGAGAGAAACTAAACTGATGATTAAGAATATTAACCAAGCACCTTTTATGAACCCTTGTGATTCACTGATAACTTTCCTGGCAGCATCTACAATTGTAATGTAACTAATGTCAAACTGTATCTGAAGGACAAGAAAATCTAACAGCTGCCAATACCTCCCACAGTAACTGTATGAAGAAGGAATTTTTTTAAATTATTTAACCTATGTGAAAAGAAAAGGGCTAAAAGTGATGCATACAAATACATTGCTTTCTGGAGAAAGAAAAGAATTCCAAGAATGTTTGCAATAATGGCCTCTAATACTGAGACATCAGAAAGCAGGTGAAATGAGGCTGAAATCAAGGCTGGTTCATTTTAGCCGAAGACCTGCAAAGCTGCTTGGATTTCTTGCAGCCATCAACATCACCTATAACTGATGCTTAATCACCTAACACGAACATCCATACCGATATATAGACTTATTTGCAAAAACCATTGATTTTTTTTTCCCTCAATTTATGGGATAAGGGTTTGGGGTGTTTTGTTTTTTGGTCTGTGTAAGGAATTATGTGTGTGTGAGTTGGGATGTATGGATACGTGATAGTCATATTTTCAAGGTGTGGATGTCTGTGATAACGTCTCAGAGCATGCCTAAAAGAGCACTGCAAGATTATTTTTGAAGAAATTTTATTTTATTAGATCTAACTCTTCATAGTGTGTAAATGTTAGAACATTTTAATAATATTTTAAAACTGGGCTCTCCCAGTATTTCAAAAAGAAATAATATATCTGTTAACGTTATTGGAATGCTGCTCAGTTCTCTGATCAGTGCTTATGTTACAATTGTTGATAACTAACCAAAGTAGATGCCTGCAGAGACTTTAAAATGTAAAATAAAGATGTATGCTGCCCGTCAGCTATTCTCATTAGAAAAGTTAACTTATTTTACTCCATAATTATTCTAGAAACTGTATAGACTAAACCCAATATTTTCTTGTACATTCGTGCCATGCACTGTTATACAAGAATAGGTGTACAAAGCTAGAGGAAAAACTTTGGTCATTGATGGGGGAATATATGGTCTGCAGGCTCTGAAGTCTGCAAAGAGATGCAAACGCATTTTTATGTTTATTCAGGACTCACACGTGTTGTGCTAAAGGAACCTGGGGCTAGAGGGGAGATGAAAGGCAGCCTGAAGACTACCAAAACACGCAATATACTTACTAAGTCTGTAGCATAACACGAACTGGATTCTCTGTCCTTTTTTAAATAGCATTTTGTAAAAGAAATGAATGTAGTCCCACAACTCCTCTGATTTGAAAGGAACACCTTGTATTTTTTATATGCATCTCTTATCCACTGTGACTATTCTTTTAAACTGGGCTCTGACTACTTCAGAGTTTGGAATGTAGAAATGAAATGCTTAGCTTTGCCTTTTCTTGGGGGTGTGGACCCTGCCAGAAATGTAATTATGCTCAAGTGCATTAATTGAAGGCACTGTGCACACCGTTGGACTGCTGACTCTAGTTGTTTCCTGTAAAATTCCATAATTGGTCACGGCACATTCATAATCACTGTATTTTTTGACCCTGATAAAAAAATTATTTTAATGGTGTTCTGGTACTGTAAATGGTGTCCTTTAAATTATTTAATAACTTTGGGTGTTGGGGCAGGCAGAGGGGGGGGGTGTCCAGAGACACATCATACTTTATATCCTCTCTTAACTCTCCCCTATTTTTCTCGCCCTCCTTACATTCTTTTTGTTAAAAATAAAAAACATTGTAGCTGTTGGTTTGTGTGGTATTTTGAGAAAGCATGAACGATGATAGTGTGCATCATTTTTACTTTGAAAAAACTTTCCAAAAGTTATCTGCATAATTCGCAAGTGTAATTTTCCTTTGTAAAAAAGAGGGAAAAAAGTAAACTGCCCAGATCAAAACTTTGGAACAGATAAAGTTTGCTTTTCAAATTTACTTCTGTCACTAATCTAGTAATAATGTAATAAAATCAAATACATTTGCAGAAATCACGATGTAAACAAATTCGTTACAACTATCTTTTTTAATTGGATTTTCCTCAAACCTGTGGTTCCTTCTCATTCTCAGAACCTGTAGTTGCATTTATTGACAGAATGTATCAAGTATGTAATTTTTTTTCCTACTTTATTCCACCTAGAACCCAGTTTTTGCTACCTACAAACCTTTGTCGATTAAGTTTACAATTTTAAATAGTTTATACACAACAGCAAAATGAGATCTGGCAGTTTCTTCATGCTATTTTCAAGATAGAAAGCCAAGGACTATTATACATTTTAGAAAATATTTTCTACTTTCAGTGATGTAAAATAGAGGGTGTGGTTACTACCCACAACCTACCCTGAACTGAGGAAATCATTGCATGATTTCTTGGAAAAGACAGAGCCAGGTAAGATCCCCTCGAGGTCTATGAATGATGATTGCTCCTATACCACACCAGCAGAACCTAAATGAAAGAAAATAAAGTATTGGAACCAAAATAGCTTCTTTTACTTTTAACTGCAATCACTTTTCTCAATACCCAGAGATAAACATCATGGAGTATTTCCCTCTAACCTGTTGATCTGGATTAAAACCTATTCACATCTGGTAAGTTGGGGATGATGTGCATAAGCCATTGGCAGTGCCTTGTCATTGCTAAGTGTTGTCATCACAATGGAAGTTCGTCATTTTATTCAGCAAGCAAATGCCAATTAAGTAAAACAGACCAACCTTGCTTTTGACTATAAAATAAGGTTGTTACCCTGTTAGGAAAATTAGTGACAGAATTAAACATGAAGAATGACTTGACTACCCCTCTAATTAGCCAGCAAGTTTGTGTCTTAGGACTTGTTGCAGGTAGATTTCTATAGTTTACTCCTTCATTCAGCAAAGAGTTTTTGAGCACCTATAATTATATATATATATACATATATATGCACACACACATACTTCTTGCATGCATAGGAGTCAAAGTGAATTTCCTGTCCCTGTACCTATCCCCAACCAGATCAATAGTAACAGAACAAATAAAAGCATACCACCTAACCCACACCTAGAGGGTTCTTATTCACATCTTAACCCCACCATCACTATCTGGTTTCTTCAAGTCTCCTTGTGGACATGTATCTTCTGTGCATCTGGCACGATTTAAGTGTATCATCAGGTCCCCCTATTCCTATTATACCTTTAAAACTTTATACTCGATTATTCTAATAATTAGAAAAGGACAGTCCTCTTGAACGGAGCCTGAAAAGCCCTCCTAGTCTGGTCCTGATGATTGTATTTACTATCACATCCCCTAGAATATTCTGCCACTGTGGCCTCTTTGGTTTTCTTTTGCACACGCTGCCCTAGCACTAAAGGCATCTCCTCCTCCGACCAACTCGGCTTCAATTCAGCGGAAGCATCGATCCTTTATACAAGCTTCCCTCACCTACATCAGATCCCTATTACAGGCACTTAACTGAAGCTTTATCATATGTCAGAACCTTTTTGCATTTGTTAAAAATGGACATTTACCCCCATAGGGTAAACTGCATGAGGATGTATGCTCCATCTGGCTTGCTTTCAGTACTCAGCATAGGGCTGGCTGAAGCAGTGATACATGCTTAAATTCCATCAACCCAACCAGGAGGCTCAATGGAAACTTCATCAAGTAGTACTTAAGTAGAGTTCTGGGCCTGTTCCTACTAAAGCATCTATATGGATGGATGCAGGTGGGCCTTTCCCCTTGATAAAAGGGTTCTAGGGTGACCTCAAACTCACCTTAGGCTTTTAATTCCTTTGGTTATATACCAGTGTCCAAGAAATAATGAAGCACCTAGTTCCAATTGTGAAGTTTCTGTAATCACTAGGCCAACAGCCCCAGCTTCAGTTTCATTAGAGGAACCTCTAGCTCTAAGCTCAGTGCCATGCACAACTAGGAGAGGTCTGCCAGTGGGCCTCCATGTTCTTGTACAGATCCTTTAAGAAAGCTATCAGGTGCAGTTAAGTGTTTCGATCCCCATTCTAACCAGGGGAAATTCAATAACAACTAATGCTTGAGTCCGTCTTTAGGAGGACTGCTTTCTTAAAGAGCTTGTTACCACCTGAAGGCCACCTGCCGAATTCATTACTTAGCTCCCACCCCCCCACACACACCATTGTTCTCACTTTGAGCTACCTCCCAGTCTCCTCAGCCTCCTCTTGCCCTAAAGAATGCTTATTTTAATGGTTAGAAGGCATTGCTTTTGAAGTTCAATTAACTTTCTTAAAAAGCTTCAGTCCCACACACCAAAGCAGATCTCATGTCTACAAATCCCTCCACAGCAAGTGCCTGGGACCTAACTGCCTGCCCCACTATATGCCATCCACACGTTTTACAAAGTTAAGGTGACAGGCCCAAACTGGTAGCAAGAGACAAGCTCGCCAACTTTATTGAGACAGATTCTTATGCAATTGAACTGTTTTTGCAATACCTTTATTTTGAAGGCTGCATCAAGATACACTGCCTTTCATCAAGTATTTTGAGGAGGGAGAGGTAGAAAGGAGCCTGAGAAAAGCTCACATGCCAACTCCATTAGCACACGTTCAGAAGAACTTTTTTTCATTCACTAAATGATATATTTGAAGCTGAAAGTGCTGTCGCAGGACAGGCGTTTGCCTTTGCATCTCCCGCACAAGTCTTGACGATGGGGGCGTTTGGGGTCCACGTGGCGAAGTCTTATTGGGCAGGAACATCTAGTTTTCTTACAACTCTGAAAAACCAGAGAGTAGCACATACAGGTAAGTCCTGGAAACTCGCCAAGGGCTTGAGTTTTCTAGTCCATTCAAATACTTCCTGACCATGCTACGCAAGGTCCCTGGTAATTCTCTAATTTTGTCCCAGTCTATACCCCTCAGCAAATGATGGGGTTAGGACACCATAGTGGTGCCATGGTACAGTGAATTTGGTTATCATGAAGTTTCTCCTTGTTTAAACTCTCAGGTAAGACAAACTGAACTCCTCTGCTTATACTAAATACTTTGGCTTGAATATGCTTACTAAGAAGCATCTGGGTAGAACAGTTATTTACTACCTCCAGTAGAAAGTTGTTCTGTTTTCCAGTTTGCCTTCTCTTACCGAGTAGAACTTAAGGCAAGCATTCTTCCATACTGCAAGTAAGGTAACAGGTTCAAAAGAGTCTACCATTACTAAGTTTTGCAAGGACAGAGAAAGCTAAAGCCCAGGCCCTGCAAAACCTAAAATCACTGGGAGCCTAGTTTCATTTAGGAAACACATTCAAGAAGGTATATTAACAAGCCTCTAACGCTATCTAGTTCAGACACAAAGTGCAAACACTTACTTGGCAGGTGATATCTTCCACTCGGTAAGGGTTGTAAGACTTCTGACAAGTTCTGCAAAACTGTTTGAAGTAAACCTGTGATGAGATGGAGGATAAACTTGAAGGAAAAGCCTCAGCACTTCCGGGAAAGGTGCCACTTACAATGATGTCCCTTACCTTGTTGGTGCCCTGTACACACCACACATACGCACTCTCCCATCGGATGTTGCAGTCCTTGCAATGATAATAGCCATATTTCTGTTCTAAGAACTAAACAGAATATCAGAGTTTAACCAACATGACATCTGAATTACCTTATTTTGGAAACTGAGAAAGATCTATTTGGTACTAAAAACTGGCAATTTCATTCCAGATCACAGAGGAAAATAGAATGGGGTTTGGCTAAGCCTCCACAATATAGTAAGTGAGCTAACAGCTTAGTCAAACAAATAATGAATGGGCTTATATACCAGATTAGTTTGGCTCACAAGGTTGTTTAACAAATAAGGTATCTTTCTTCCAACAGGCAAGGGAAAAGTCAGTTGTCTGAAGCTTGCAATTTTATATGTTATATATAATATATGTATTATATATTATATGTATTATATAATAAATATATATAAATTTTTGTTGTTGTAGGTGGACACAATATCTATTTTTACGTAGTGCTGAGGATCGAACCCAGTGCACCGCGCATGCCAGGCCAGTGCGAAACTACTTGAGCCACATCCCCAGCCCCTGCAATTAAGTAGGCTTTTTCCTCTATAAAGTCTAATCTTAGAACACACACAGTTGAGTCAGGCATAATGGCACACACCTGTAGTCCCTACAGACTCAAGGAGGCCGAGGAAGGACTGCAATTTTAAAAATTTGAGCCCAGCCTTAGCAACTTAGGCCCTAAGCAAACTTAATGAGACTGTCTCAGGGTTTTTTTTGTTTGTTTGTTTTTATAAAAAAAAAAAGGGCCGAGTATGTAGTTCAGTGTTAAAATGACCCTTGGTTCAATCCTCAATACAAAAAAAGTTTTTTTTTTGAAAGTTAAAGATTGAAAATAAGAAAGCGTTCACCCCAGGTGAAGTTGTTTCCTTCATAGAGCAGTGCTATTCCTCTGTAAGCACACAGTTCACTTAGTATTGTCCTATTCTTAAGCTTTCCTTCTCCCCTCCCAATGAGAAACCAGTTATGACCAAGTTTTAAAGGCCTTTAAACCTAGTAGGCACTTTGGAGTATTTAATGCAGTTTCACAGACAACCCACTTGATTCCCTCCTCCAGATAGCTCACCCCCTAAAATCTACAGTCCCGAGATGACTGTGGACAAGGCTAAAGAACTCCTTAGGGCCCCTTGCCTCCTGCTTTTACACTTACCCTGGGTTATAAATGCCTTCCAGGCGCCCAGCCCTTTAGGGTTCAGGTTAAGGATCTCTCAGGCATTAACAAGGGACAGCAAGAGGTCTCAGCAACGCTAGATTTCATGATGGGGTGGAGTTTTGTTTTTTTTTTTTTTGGGGGGGGTACTGCAGTACTGGGATTTGAACCCATGACCTTAAGCATGCTAGGCAAGCAAGAGCCAGACTTGGTGCAGCCTGTAATTCCAGTGACTCCGGAGGCTGAGGTGTGAGGATGGAAAGTTCAAGGCCAGTCTCAGTAATTTAGCAAAGATTTGTTTCAGTAAAAATTTGAAAGGGCTGGGGACCCTAGTTCTGTGGCAAAGTGCCCCTGGGTTCCATCCCCAGTACCAAACAAAAATGAAAGCAAGGCAAGTTCCTACAAGAGGCACTTTAGAAACTCCAGTTTCCAGCAGACTGTTAGTTTGGGAAATGGAGGTAAGAATCAGGGGATAGGAGATTAGGACCCCAGTAGTGGCCTGTTAAGGGTTTTGCCACGTGTAGGCGATAAATAGAAGGATGCTAGGGAATCTTGCCAGCAAGTTTGCCTTCGGATTTCTGCCGTTTATGTGTCTATTTTCACTCATCCGGAAACATGGTGCAGAGTGCACAACGTGTCCACCATCAGGTGTTTATAATGCAAATGTGATCAGAGTTAAGAATGTCAAGAAGGCGTCTCCCTGGCCAACTTGGTGGAGCCGGTGTCTTACAGTCACTGCGGAATAAATCGGGCTCCACTCGGTTTGATCCTACTGTTGAGGAGAGAACACACCTCAGAGGCTGCGAAATGCACAAGGATGTGGCCTCTTGCTTAAGAAAGTGTGGCATCTCCACGTGTCCCGAGCAGCCCCGGCCAGGTACCAGGAAAAGACTCCCTACGCCGCCCTCCAGGCTCCCCTTGGCTCTAGCCCGCTTTCCCGTCCCCACCCCCAGGCCTTACCTGGAAGCGTAGGCGCACCTTGCCAGGCTCAGCGCTCTGCAGCGACGACCTCTCGCACGCGGCGGTGGTCTCCCCGCCATCCAGAGCCTTCCCCGCCGCCGGGGTCAGCTCCGGACTCCTGGGCGAGGGCTGCGGGGCCGCCTGGCGGTCACCGGCTTCCCGCGGCGCCAGCTTGGGCCGGTTGATCAGCTGTTCCCAGGACGCCCCCGCCGTGGCCTGGGCCTCGTCGTCGTCGTCCTCCTGGGATCGCCGGCGTTGGGACGCCTTCCTCGCCGACACCTCTCCCTCCTCCCGGCCTTGGGGCTTCGCGGATGATGGCTCTCGCTCTTCCTCGGTGGCCTCGGGGCTCTGCTCGCCTACCGCGGCTTCAGCCCCCTCCAGGAAAGCGGTGAGGCGGCGGGAGACCACCGGCGAGTACACCGCGACGGTGCGCGGAAAGCGCACGGGCCGTAAGGCGCCGCTCTGGGGGCTGCCCTGCTCCGGGCCGCGGCGGGTAGGCTGAGGGGAAGAGGGGTCGCCTCCCGCCGGGCCCTCGGAGCCGGGGCTGGCCGCAGGGCCGGGGTCCCGGGGCCTGCGCAGCAGCGTGCGCCGCCCCAGGGAGCACTGCACCGAGGCGTCGCAGCGCGGATTCACCTGCACCGCCACGTCGCGGCTGGTGGTTCTGCGCGGGCGCATGCCCTGGCTCACCTGTGACAGGAGGGCCATGAGCTGCGCCCGCTGGTAGCTGTCGAAGTACTCGGCGGCCGCCAGCTGCCCATAGCCCGGAAAGGACGACGAGGCCGCCCCGGCCGCGAAAGAGGATGAGGCGGCGGCGACCGGAGGGTAGCCTCCGCCGCGGAGCCGCCAGCCATCCCCGCCCGCCGCGCCCTTGCCCTTGGAAGCCGCCGGGTAAGGGTACGAGTAGGGGGCGCACGCCGGGTACATGTAAGCATCCAGCACCTCATCCCCCAAGGCAGCCATAAACGCAGCCCAGCTGCTCCCGCCTGCAGCCGCGCCCTAAATAGGCGGCTCGCCGGGGCGGCCCGGTGGAGGCGGGAGAGGCCCCCAGCCTCTCGCCGCGCTGCGCCGCCCTCCGTGCCCTTCCAGCCGCAGCGTCCAGTCCCCACGTCCCCGCGGAAGGAGATCCTCCCCGAATTGCTCCACACGAAATTTCTCTACATGCCAAGGTCTACACCTTTGGATGATCCACTTTGCGATCAAAATGCTGATTTGTAAGTGAACACGCCAAGGCGAGAATCCCAACAAGAGAAAACTATCACTGGGATTAGCTGAACCAGGTGGCCCTCATACCCTGATGATTTCAGGTGTCGGTGCCGCCCAGGGAGACGAGGCCAACCGGTGCCTCTATGATAGTGAGCAAAATGCCCAGGTTTGAAAACTGCTTTGGGTCTATTATCTCGGATTATAGTTTAATTTTCATAGAGCTTCCTGGAGACGTCTACCCACTGAGCCCTTTGGGTGCATGTACGAGGAAGTACTCAAGGACGTTTAAATCTAGTTTAATTGTCTTCTCCCCTGGAGCACGTGCCCTCACCTCCATCCATGGTCACCAGGAGGTACTAGTTTGCTCTTCTCCAGGGTACATAGTAGTTCTGCAAAACCTAACAAAAGTTTCCTAACAAAACCATCCCTCCAAAAGTAAATTGATCTGGAATATGTTTACATAAATGCAGAAGACCAATTGGAAAGAAAAAGCCTTATTGGCATAAAAACGTTGGTGCTTCATTACCAATAGAGATCAGATCAAGTAATCAAATACATGAATGTAGTTTTCTCTGATACTGGTTTGACAATAAAATACTATATTTCACTGTTTCATTAACCTGGTTTGCACTTTTCTGAGTACAGGTCAAAATTCAACATTGTCAGGTATTTATAAGTTGAGCAAAACACTTTTTTGTCTTAGTTACATTAAACTTAATTATACTTTACAGATAGCTTGTTTTTACTCATGTAAAACAGTGCACCAAAATTCTACATTTACAAACCTTGTTTGTATAGAAATTGGTAACAGTGAAAACCAAAAAGCACGTTTAACCAAATAAGATGTCACATTAGCTGACCAGGTGCAAGTTATATTACAACACTGATTTGTAATTTACTAAAACACTTGGTTAATACACCAATGCAGCTTTACAATGGGAAGATCAAAACTGTTACATGTTGTTTGAACCAATTGTTATCCTTTATATAAACCATATGTACTACCACAGGCCATAAATATGAAGTAATATTTCAGCAAAACTGAAGCTCCTGTGTATCTTCACATTTAGAGAGAAGTCTGGGTAGGTTCCATCATTATTATATTATCAGCTTTCACTGTGCCATAGGAGGTGTCTGCCATTTCCTCTTCTTTCAGTTTCTTATAAGAAATATCTGTGTCTTCATCTTCATCTAGAGGATCTCGCTTGTGCAATATTTCACTTCCATACATTTTATATATTAAAACAAAAATCCCTGCTTCTGCAGACTGGAAGAGGGCGTAAAGCAAGGGAAACATGTACATGCTTCCTATGAAGCGTGGTGGAAAGGCCAGTTTTAGAATGGCAGTACAGAGCTGGACATTCTGACTGCCTGTTTCCAGACACACAGTCCTCTTGCAGTTGGGTGGAAGATGGAAGAGAGTAGCTAAGCCGTAGCCTGAGGCGTACCCGGCCAAAGGCATAAAAATGGCTACCACATAAACAGCTGCAGGGATACTTGCCAGCAGTTCGGGTCCTAACATAGTGCCAGTCAGTATGAAAAGGACCACCAAAGTCACTAGCAGAGACCACAGGGAAACCTAATAATAGAAAACGGATACACAATCAGCAATAAGATTGTTGAAGAGGAATTCAGGCCAGAGAATCCTAAGTTCTTAGAAAAAGAGATGCAACTAGTCCCACCTCCCCCACAAAATAAGATCTGAAGATGGATACCTCACCTCTTCCGGAGGCCTCAGATCCATGTTGGATAGCTCTAATTATTTGGAGGCCTGTCATGTTGAGTGACAATTTGACTTCTGTATCCTCTGGTCATTGCTTTGGACAGGCCCTCAGGAGCAACCTAACACCAGTCTACTCTGTCTCAAAAATAGTGCTTCCGGAAGTTTTTAAACCAGTTTTCAGGGAAGGCTAACTCTTCTCCCAGCAGAATGTCCCCGCTCCCCAGCCTCTATCACATAACTTTGTTTTGCTGTCCTTTCTAACTGCTCTGAATGTGCATTTATGTATGTGGCTCTTGAAGACATTTGTTAACATTGAGGCTTATACCCCACCACTGACGAGGGGTATATAGTAGACAAGTGATGTTTACTCCATGTTTCCCATATGAAATTAATTCTCATTCACACATGAGATAAAAGGCTATTAATACTCACAACAAAAAATCACTTTGTGATATTTTAAATCTTTAAAATATATCACAGAGGAGTATTAACAATATTGAAACTTCCATCAACTCTTAGATCATGTAAGACAAAATGTAAATATAAGATGCCAGGAATCCTTTGCAATTTTGTAACTCCCTTCTCATTTGTTCATGAGAAACATCCCATCTGTAAGTCTAAGGATCTTTATAATTATTATAGATGCCTATAATTATGGTAATAGATATGTTTTAGATAGAGTACTACTGACTGTGTAAAACATGCCATCTGAATGTTCTGACTACATTTCACTCATTCAAGTGAAACAGGCTGTGTAAATAGTATGGTAGAAACCTAAAAATTCCTCCTTTAGTTCCCCTTCAGACTCTAGTTAACTTGTTTTCTCTTATGGAGGCAGAAATAACCATCTGTTGTTACCTCTACTCTCTGTATATCTAGAAGGAAGCCCTTTTGATATTTTGGGATTGCCATATACTTTATGTTCTTTAAATTTTTATTTAAAATCTACTTAGGTTGTTTAAAAATTCTACCTTAAAATTCTACAGAAGGCTGAAATAACTAGTGTACAAGGTGTGCATATTACACCTGTACAATTAGCAGAAACCAAACTTCACAAATCAAAACTTGTATTAGTTTTCAAAGTGTGTCACAGTAAGAGCATTGACAGGAGATCTGATTCTTCATTTTGAAAATATTGGCCCCCAAATTCCCTTAAACTATTTTAAATTATTGGGTAAGCATTGAGATTGAGATCCCATGCTCATTTTAAAATGTTTGCAAAATGTAACAAGTATATAAACCATATCTTAATAGTATATTAATTAAATAGGGATAGGCTAACCTTAAATGCAAAGTCAGCCAATCTTACTGGATTATTTATTATTTAAATATATTTTTCCTGTTTTTAATGTATAAATGGTTCACTTGTACTTTTTCTTAGAACTCCTAAAGTTTTGTTGTTGTTTTGTTTTTTAATTGCAGGAGTGATCTACATCTCCAGCCCTTTTTTTGTCCCTTATTTTGAGACAGGGCTTCTCCAACTTGCCCAGGCTGGCCTCGACTGTGTGATCCTCCTGCTTCAGCCTCCTGAATAGCCAAGATTTCAGGAATGCACCACTGCACAGGGCAGAATTCCTAAAGTTTATACCAAATGCCACTGTATTGATAACAGTAGCGTACTGATTAAGCCTAATAAGTTCTTAATGCATCTCTAGATCACCTATGAATATGTAATATCAAATATGTATAAATGTATGTACACAAATTCACACATATGTATTATGTTCACATATGCATGTTTATTATAGAGAAGGATTTCTTTTACTTAAGGATAGATTTATATACAGAAAAGAACCATCTATTTTTCATATTAATAAAACGTTGGACTGTATAATCAGATTAGAAAATAATGAGTAAAATAAAAAAGGTTATATCTTCTTAAATGTACATAATTGAAACATTGAAATGGCTCTTTTCATTTGAAGGAATTTGTCTCCGAATTTTATAGTGATAATACATTTTATCTTACTAACTTCCAACAATGAACATCCTGTTCATGGTTTACTTGTTTTTTTACTACTTTTGAGTATTCAAAAAAAAGTTTAATTTACAAATATTTAATTTTTCTCCATTCAATGATCAGAAATACTGTGACTAAAACCATGTTTTTAAAAAATAAAGCATCATCGGCAATATTGCACAAAATACTAGCAATCTCCCAATCATTTCGCTAGCTTTAGAAACCATATAAAATAATGCAATGGGGAACAAGAAACACACAAATTTAGTAACAGCAACATAGTCTATATTTTCCAGGACCCAAATTCATTTTGTTCTTTAAGGCCAATATTTTTACGAATTGTATTATATTGCCACAATATAATTTTTCAATTACTTTTAGTCTTGTGTCAACTTTTTAAAAATTTTAAGCTGTACATGGAAACAACACCTTTATTTTATTGATTTTTATGTGGTACTGAGGGTTGAACCCAGTGCCTCATGTGTGCTAGGCAAGCGCTCTACCACTGAGCCACAACCCCAGCCCATATAAACTTATTTTTAACTTAATATTTTAAAGCAGTCTACAACAGGGTTTCTCAGAATTAAAGTTCCACTTTTGAAAATATAGCAATTTTTAAAAATACTACACAAATTATATTAAAGTAATTTCATTTAACCTGTTTTGAAGTTTAGTAGTGTATGATTAGTGGAAAATGTTGCTATTTAATTACACTGTCATCTTCCACCCCTGACTCCCCCCTGACATGAGTACTGCTAGATCTCTTATACTATTTGTTTTTGTCTTAATTTGAGCTATATCATTCCAGGAACTCCAAAAGGTGGAGATAATCTTTGAGCATAAACTTTTTTTAAAAAAAGTTTATCCATGCAAATCCCACCAAGTCCTTTTCTTCCTTTCCCTTCTTTCCCAAACTTCCTATCATTTCAGTCACCCATCAAGACCAAGAACTCTCCAGGTGAGTACAGCATGGAAGAGGGATCTTACCTTCACAATGTAGTCAGCCACACGGTTATATTTGTATCGAATGAAGACTCCCAGCCCAATAGGAATGAGTGTGCTGCAAAGAGTGAG